AATACAACATTCTCAGACTGTTTACAACATTCTCAGAGATTTGGCAACACGCTAGAACAGCTTACAACATCACAGACAGTTACATCTTAAACATGGCACATACATTGACAGAATACAACATTTCATACAGCTTATAAACATTTCTCAGATAGTTTTACAACATTCTCAGACAATAAATCTATTTTCAGACAAAAAACAACATTCTCAGACATCTTACAACATTCTCAGACCTCTTGCAAAATCCTCAGCACAACTTATGAACATTCTTGAACAACTTTGCAACATTTTCAACAATAAAAAATATTTTCAGACAAAAAATAATATTCTCAGACAGCTTAAAACATTCTTAAATACCTTATAACAGTCTCAGACAGCTTACAATAACAGCTTGGAACATTCTCAAACAATAAATAATATTTTCTGACAAAAAACACATTCTCTGACAGCTTATAAAATCTTCAGACAGCTTACAACATTCTCAAACAACTTGCAACATTCTCAGACAATAAAATGTATTTTCAAACAAAAAACAACATTCTCAGACTTCTTATAACAGTCTCAGGCAACTTACAATAGTTGCAAGGCAGCTTACAATAACAGCTTGGAACATTCTCAGACATAAATAATATTTTCAGACAAAAAACAAATTTGCAGACAGCTTTAAAGCATTGTCAGTCATCTTACACACAGTTTCAGACAGCTTACGACATCCTCCCACAGCTTACAACATCCATAGATAGAATACAACATTCTCAGACTGTTTACAATATTCTCGAATACTCTAGAACATTCTCAGACAATAAATAATATTTATAGATAAAAAGAAATATTTTTCAGAGAGCTTAGAACATTCTCAGATAGTCTACAACATTCTCAGATAATAAATATTATTTTCAGAACATTCTCACGCAGCTTAAAACACTCTCAGACAGCTTACAACATTCTGGGAGAGGCTACAACATTCTCAGACAATCAAAAATATTTTCAGATAAGAAACAATCTAATCAACTTATAACAGTCTCAAACAGCTTAGATAACATTCTCAGACAAAAAAACATACAACATCCTCGGACTGGTAACAACATTCTCAAACAGCTTACAAAATCCATAGGCAGAATAAAACATTCTCAGACATCTTACAATATTCCGAGACAATTTACAAAATTTTCAAGCTATTCACAATATTTTCAGATGGTTTACAACATTCTCAGACAAAAAACATACAACATCCTTGGACTGGTAACAACTTTCTCAAACAGCTTACAAAATCCATAGGCAGAATACAACATTCTCAGACAGCTTACAATATTCTGAGACAATTTACAAAATTTTCAAGCTATTCACAACATTTTCAGATGGTTTACAATATTCTCAGACAGTTTACATTATTCTGAGACAATATATAAAATTTTGAGGCTATTCACAACATTTTTAGACTGTTTACAACATTCTTAGACGGTTTACAATATTTTCAAACAGCTTACAATATTCTGAGACAATTTACAAAATTTTCAGAGGATTTACAACATTCTCAGACAGCTTACGACAATCTCAGACAGCTTACAACATTCTGAGACCATTTATAAAATATTCAGGCTATTCACAACATTTTTGGGCGGTTTACAACATTCTCAGACAGCTTACAACATTCCGAGACAATTTACAAAATTTTCAGGCTATCCCCAACATTTTTTGCGGTTTACAACATTCTCAGACAGCTTACAACATTCATTAATTAAAGCATTAAACAATAAAGATAAACTTAAAAAAATAATAAAACCCCTATCGTTTCTTTTTAACTTTAGGACAATTGAGACAAAAAATATATATTACTCACTTATCACTAAGATGTTTCGATCCTTGCTCAATTTGCATAATTAGTCCTAAGGCTTGTATAGAAATTTTAAAATTTGTTGCATATATTATCCTAAACATTGTCTCTTGTAAATCCTTTGGAATCACGGGTACTCTATAAAAAAAATCAAAATAAATAAGGAACACACATTATTAAGAATCTAGTAAAATCAAATTTTTAATAACCCTTCCTGTGCTTCAACTTTAGTTATAACTTGTCGCACACATTGTAATATTGTTGACATTGTTCGGGTTTCAACTTCTCCCTGAAAATAAAAATTAGATAAATAGATTGATAAATAAAATCAAAAGAATATTGAGAAAAAATAAATAAAAATTAGGAATTTTTTATATGAATAATTTGAATCATCCTATTTAATTGAAAAATTCTGTAAAAAAAATCAATTTCTCAAAACTAATTCAAAAATTCAAAACAAATTAAATTTTCATAACTAATATGTTATATTTTTCTACATGTGCACAATTTACGTACTATTCTGATGTAAATATTATAATATTATTATCCCTTACCTTATTTACGCAGGCTTTAAAAAATGCTATGCATATCCTAACCATTCGTTCTGCAACTTCGCTATTTATATAATTTCCTATTTGACCCAAGAAGCAAAGGGCATAATGCTGTGCTTTCCGAGGTAAATTATTTCTGAATAATAACTTTTCAGTTTCTTTAACAATAACTGTACACATATTAGGATGCCTATGAGCTATTGCTTTTAAATGGTATATCGTTTTTGATGCTACTTTATTTGATGGGTCACCAAGTTTATTGATAAGAAGACTAAGAAGTGCCTAAAAAATAAAAATTTAGTTAATATATGGGATATACATAGTTGTACAAATTAATTTTGACGTATACCTGCTCTTGTTCAGGAGTATTTTCTAATAATCTGGCTGCACAAGATATTACACGAGATTTTGTTACTTCTAAACCAAGACCAGCACTTGATTGTAAATTTCTAACAAAGCCTGAAAATATAATATTCAATTATATATATATATATATATATATATATATATATATATATATATACATATATAGATTGTATCTATTCTTCTTACTTATCATAGAGTCCTTTAATTCAGCTTCAAAATGCCAATAAGCCAAAATTTTACTCCTACCATCAGGACCAAGTTCTTTCGTTTAGCATTAAGAGCTCTGAATTCAGCAGCCCTTGCAGACAAAGGTTTTAATTTTCGATCTTTCGGCAATAAAGAATTTAAAAATAAATCTGTCAATGTATCTATGACTTCTAAACATTCTTTGTTGGCTGCTTTGCATTGTCCAATAAGAGCATTCAATGCCGATAGATTTGATATTGGATCTGATTCCACTAATAGTGCTCCTGCAGTTGCTCGATCTTTGGAGGTACCTTTTGAAACTGCTGTTTTCAACCAGCTGTCTTGAGAGGTTGTTTCTGGAAAAGGATAATAGAATTAAGTAAGAAGAATATTGCCTTATGGCAAGTTGCATAAACTTTCCCAATACATTTACAGAATCAAAAGAATTGTCAATAAGATATTCAGGTATAATGCTCAACTGTTATTTCAAAAAAAAAAAAAGTTGTATTCTCTAAAAAGCAATCAATTCATGTCTTTCTAACATACTTGTATTATAAATTGAAAAAATTTGTTTATAATTATATTGTTCGTTTATAATCTCATAATCATTTTATAGATTAACCAACAAAAATCTGCACTCACTTAGTTGTCACCTTGATAAAAACTTCTAGACAAGAATCAGACGGTTAAGGATTCACATAATTCATTATCATAAATGTAAAATTACAATAAATATTGAAAATTGCTTTTCTGACATGTAAAGTAGGAAAATAACTTAATGAATTTAAATTGTAATTGTTTCTATTAGTTAATTTTAATGTCAGTACATACTTCTAGTCCTCTGCAGAAGGTAAGCATCAAAACATTTCTTGGCTTCTTTATTTAAATTATTCAACTCCTCAACTTTCAGCTCGACATTTGTGTTATCATACTCAAGCTCTGGTACCTAAAATAAATAATCAAACCAATTAATACTAATTGCAACCATATTAATTCATTGTAAAAACATTAAAGTTAAGTTTCTTCAATCTAACCTCTTCGAACCAAAGTTCGTGTCCGCCTTCAAGATTTTCAGCAAAATTTTTGGCAATGCCACGTTTTTTCTTATTACCACTTTTATTGTTGAATTTTTTAACATTAGGAGACTTTTGAGCAAGAGTCATTTTGCCTAAATTTTTATATTTTTCACTAAAAATCACATTTGTATTTTCATGCACGTGTATAAACAAGAATAAACTTTTAGGTTATGAAGTAGTTGACGTTTGACATGTGGCGCCAAGCGACAAGAAAAAGAACTAATCACTAAATAATAAGTAAATAATTTCATATTCAAATAATTATTTGATTTTTAATTGTATTATATAATTCTTATTATTACTAAAAAATATCTAAGAGTTTTTTAAACATTTTTTGAGGTACAATTATGCTAAAAAGTGTGTTATTTAAATATTTATTACTTTGCCATTGGCACCTGTCAAAAGTTGCAACTGTCAAAAGTTGTAACTGTCAAAATTTGCAACTGTCAAACAAATATGATAATATGAATGACGTAACAAAATGTTAATTGTAATTTGTTGTGCAAAGTAATTTATTCTACTTATTTATTTAGCCAAAATGCCTGGAGCTTACGATCAGTCAAGACCTTAGCAGAATATTTCAAACTTGCCAAAGGTTTTGACCAATGCCTCAACAAACTAACCCTAATAAGTGCTGAAAAGAAAGGTAAATGTGTCGTTGAATTCACCGTTGACAAAGAGCATGTAAATGCTGCTGGAAACCTACATGGGGGCTTCACTGCTACCCTAGTCGATGTTGTGTCCACCTTTGCTTTGTTGCTGCTGAAAAACCACCCGGAGTATCTGTAGATATACATGTCAGTTACCTGAAAGGAGCCACACTTGGTGAACAAATCGTTGTTGAAGCCAACACTCGAAAAGCAGGGAGGACGTTAGCATTTTTGGATGTCGAGCTGTTTAAAAAAGAATGTAGAGAGATTATAGCTAGAGGCAGTCATACCAAATTTATCGGCAGTTGAATTTTGTAATTGTAGATAAAGATTTTTATACTAAGTCATGTGTACATAGAATATGGAATCGCACTATGGATCTTCATACAACAACTTTAATTATTGTGTAGTAAGAAACAATAATAATGTTATTGGATGATAGTATAAGTTGGAGTTTAAGCGTACTCTTAAGTATACTATCATAAATTATTGTTAAGTATCAATCGATGCGTACAATGGTTGTACAGTATGTGAACTTTAGAAAAAAATAAAGACCCATTTCAAACTACACATGATAAATTATATTTTTCATTCAAATTTAATTTTCAAAGCAAAAGCAAGAAGGTTGAACTGCTGATAAGACAAAAAATATGTAAGTTTCAAAATGAACACCATGGATGTAATTTATGTAAGTACATTTCTTTTTATTATCTATGATTAACACCTTGGTTGTTTAGTTCAACAAACATTTTAATAAATCAAAGGCATTTTACATTAATAAATCCAAAATAAATCAATATTAATTTTAGGTATATCAATACTCAATAAGCTTTTATATTAACCCGTCTTTTATATTAAAGCAGTCAGAACAATAATTAGAATATTTTATTTATTAATTTATATTTGCAATATATTGATCCTAGTGATATACTCTCACAAATATTGGATATGTTTTGTTTAGTGTCATCGTTTGATCAAATCTTGCAAACATGTAACCTCAATGAATACTGAAATTGCTTTGACATTATATATTAAAGCTCTCCATGATTTACAGTAACAGCTTAACTTTTATACTTGGCGTTTGAGCTTACTTTTTCTTTTTTCGCAAATGTTGATGCATCTTGTATAATTTCAGTAAAATATGCTAGAACTTTTTTTGGATCAAGACCCGGATTTTGCTCCATAACTTTTACAAGTTCATACCCAATTTGCTTTATTTCAGGAGGTAATTCAATATCATTGGCAGTATTCTTTTTAATTTCTTCCATTCTTGAAGTACTTTGAATAATAAAGTTATCTGATTCTTCTTTCATATCCATTTCTAAAAGCCTGCGTTTAAATCCAGTGTCAGATGGAAATACTCTTGCACATGCATGTATATGTTCAATTTAATCAAGTAGTCTATGCAGGTTCAAGAATATGTACCAGGAACGGAGAAATAAAAAGTTTTGATGCGCCTCTGTAATGAGAAAGGAGCATGCAAGATCTTTTGGCAAAGCATTCAAAATCAATCAAAATGGATACATTGCTTTTGCTTTTTCATAATGTAAAAATAAAACGGGTTGAACTATAGCATAAACCTGAACTAACTTAAGCTATGATTAAAAGATAGCTTATGTAAAGAAAGAAATATGAACTAAAATATTAAAACTATAATATGAGCTAAAAGTAACGTTACTACAAAGTATGAAATTCTTAGAAATGAAATGAAATCTAACCTAAATGTAACCTAAACTATAAATTGAAATGCAACCTAACCTAAGTGATTAAAACGTACCTTATATATTTGTCCAAAAATAAAATAATGCAAGAATACCTACTTCTAAAGCGATCTAAAAAGTGTAAAATAGATAGAACATAATTAGTAAGAAAATAACCCTAACCTATAAAACACGTAAAAACTAAGAAAAAACCTTAACCTAGAAAACCATGAAAAAAGTAATAAACTTAGAAATTAAAAAAATAAATGTAAATTTAATAATTACGAGCAACACACGATTCACAAGAAAATTATACTAAAACCGTATGAATAACGCACAAAATAATTAAAAAACGAGGTACCAAAAAAACACTGGAAAAGAATAGACGTGAACATAGCACGAAAACCACACCAACATAATAATGCTAAAATCCCATTCAACTTTGCAGCGAATGTGAAACACTTCTGAAGTATAATACAGCAAACTTCACACCCCAAAATTGTTAGCAAATGTCAAATTATTAGCATGATTTAATTATTAGCATGATTAGTATATTGTCTAGGATGATTTAATGCCTAGTCAATATCGTATTTCATTTAAATTTAATAATTATATGATAATTAATAGTGTCTTTATATAATTAGAAGTATTAAATATGGAAAATGTAAAATTAGCAAATGCTTACGAAATATTATCAACAGAAGCAAGAGGTATTTAAAATCATTTTATATAACAGCAGCCAATATGTCAAATTGAATATAGTAAATTAATATTTACTTACTTCTTTATTTATAAAGACAAACATTATATTTTATGTTTGATGATTACTATCAAATCTTATTTCAGAATAGGGTTTTATCAATTTACTGAATATATATTAAGAGCCTGAAATAATATTTATTGTTTTTGTCTACGACTTGCTTATGAATAAATAATAATTAATGATTAAAATGAATGAATAATTTTATTTGTTTTCACAGAACTATTTCTTGGCTCACAAGTATCAGAAGTATATCATACACCGAAATCTTTAGAATTTTATAGAAATTATGTATCAAAAAATATTCCTGTCGTATTCAGAAATATTAATCAGAATTGGTATGCCGTTCAACATTGGAATTCGGATTATATGAGGTACACTTTACTTAAACTTTTAATTAAAAAAAATTGGTAATAAATAATATCTAATAATATAAAAATTGCACTTACCAAAATATTCATTCAAATTTTTCTTGTTTTTATTTATTTCGTGTAGTGAAAAAATAGGTGATAAAATTGTAACCGTAGCCGTAACTCCAAATGGATATGCAGACGGCTTAACTTCTCATTCCGATGTAAAATGTAAAGATTTTGAAGATCTTGAATACTTTGTGATGCCTGAAGAAAGAGAAATGCGTATGCAGGAATTTTTAGAATCTCTAAATAACAAAAATAGGTATATAACTTCTCCATTTACAATTATATGTATTAATTTATTTTTTAATATATATTATGCAGTAACGAGATTATGTACATACAGAAGCAAAATTCAAACCTGACTCTGGATTTACCTGAGCTTTCTAAAGACGTACCTGCAGAAATTTCTTGGGCCAGTGAAACTTTTGATAAAGTACCGGACGCTGTAAATTTTTGGATGGGGGATAGCAGAGCTATTACTTCAAGTAATAAAAAATAATAAAGTACTTATTATTATTATTATAGTCTTTATAATATTTTTCTTAATTTTTAGTGCACAAAGATCCATACGAAAACATATATTGTGTAATATCAGGCTACAAAGATTTCATATTAATACCTCCAACCGATATGCAATATGTACCAAAATCATTGTATCCAGTGGGAACTTTTGAAAAAGTAAATGATAACTTCACAATCAAACCATGGACTGAAACTGGAGCTGAAACAAATACCGAGACACCATTAAATATTAAACAAATATCCTGGGTCAGCATTGACCCTCTCAAACCGGATTTAAAAAGATATCCACAGTATAATAAATGTAATATTTACCATGTCAGAGTTAATGCCGGTGATGCCCTATATTTGCCCAGTCTTTGGTATCATCACGTAAGACAGAGTCATAAATGCATCGCTGTGAATTACTGGTATGATATGGAATACGATTCTAGATATTGTTATTATAAAATGATGGAGCACCTTTGTGGATTTGATAATGTTTAATATAGTGAAATAAATTATTTTTAAAAAAATATGGGGAGTATTATTAATATATTGTTTTTTAGTATTACATTTCTGAAATTATATCTATCAATTAATTATTAATCATCTTGTCACAATGGTAACTGATCTTTAGGTAATTTTTACATTTCTTCACGTTTTGAACATTCCAGAACATTTTGGCATACCCCAGAAAAATGGATGTGTGTGTGTGTGTGTATGGATACAATTTTTCGTCCACGTTTTCGGGCGCACAGATCAACCGATTTGAATGATTAAAAAAACATTCGATTCCTATTGATAGGGAGATGTGTTGATTAGTTTTTGGTAAAGGCAGGTCCAGCAGTTACGGAGATAAAGAGCAAAGAGTGCAGAACATAGAAATCGAGTTTTTGAGAGAACGGAGCATCTGATTTGAATGATTCAAAAAACTTTCTGCTTGTGTTATATAAATGTGCTTTTTCCTTTTATTTTTAAGATAGTCTATATGTATGTGTGTGTACATACATATATATTATGTGTGTATGTGTGTGTTCATATATACGAATATGCACGTATGTATTTATGTATGTGTGTAAAAAAGGGCGCCTCCATACCATTTTTTTTTTCCAAAAATTACGTAATTATTACGAAATATTTCCGTAATCCACATGACAAAAAACAGGCGAAATTATTACATATTTGTTACATTAATCTTACGTAAAAATGACGAAAATATGCAACTTTTTGCGTAAAAATTGCGTAAATATTACGGATTATGGCTTAGTGATTTGATTGATTAAGTTTTGTTTATTTAGTTTTCTGTAAACATATATAAGTTACAGTATTTATAATAATCTATTTGAAAACATTTAATATTCCTCGAATATTTCGTTACGTTACGGGAAGTTCCAGCAATTTGTTTGCCTTATGGCACACCACTAGTTAAATTATTATTTTTGAATAATAAGAATCCTGTTAGATACTTAAATACGTATATATTTAACCATGAATATATTATTTCAAATTTATTATTATTATGAGAATAACGATTTGTTAGCTTTGACTTATTTTCTAAATAATTTAAGAACATTCAAATTTAAATAATCAAGTGACATTAATATAACAGGTAATAGGTCAAGAATTTTAAATATAATCACTAACAAATTGGACATTTTATATATTTGGCGTTTGTGAGGTTTAACATGTGATATTTGATAATAAATCTATTTTATATGAATATTTAATTTTTGCATTTAGTGTAATTGGAAAAGGACTGACACAATTTTCAGGGGATAAAAGACATATCTAAAATATAAAAGTAATTAAATAATTGAACACAAATTGTAGTGACCAGATAAAAGTACCATAAACTAAAAGTATTACTAAAAATACCCCAATAATTTTATTCAATATTTATATGTATGATAATCTTGTCAGTCCTTAAATCATCAAAAGTGAATTTGGCATTTTATATTTAGCATTAAAACATTTTATTTTAATTGTAAAATTACTTTTTAAAACAGTTTAGTTAGTAAAGTTATTCATAACTACACCCTTAGCTTTTTATTTAAAATTAACTTTTAAGTAAAAATCGTGATGATAATAAACAAATATTATTTTAACCAGAAATATGTAAACTAAATTGAATATATTATTATTTTGTTATATTAAAATTTAACCATTTGTTAACTAAAAGTTATTTCGAGTTGATAAAAATACTGATTGAACGTATTTTCCTGTTAAAATATTTTTTACACTTGTTCTTAAGAATAAAATTTGTAGGCACTATATAAGTATATCGTATAATAAAAGCTTTTTTTTGGATTTGCTTTATATATTAAATCCTAACGAGTAGTTTAACCAATTATAGGTTTAAAAAATAATTAGCCGCGCTTTTGATTCATTTATATTAATAATAAGATTAGTGACCTTTTGTTTAAGAGTAAAGAGTTTTTTCGACCCATTCTTCCATGTTGAACGTCGCCGTGTTGGAGCCGTCGGAGTCTCGCTCTTTGAAGATATCTGAAATATAAATTAATAATAATATATGTTATTATATCTATATATATATATATATATATATATATAACTATGATTTTATTTTTCTGATCTAAAAATCCTCTGTCCTTGCTGTAGTATTGCTTACGTCTCTTACCACTGCCTAAGTTGGACTCCGGTTATATTTTGTTCGATAATTACAAATTGCATTATCTGATAAAGTTAACTAAAACTATGTATTGAGTTCAGTTAGGAAACGTTCACAATTGGTAAGCTGACGGACTAGGTGATTCAGAATTGATTAAAAAATAATTTTTTTGTGAAGTTTACATAAATATTTTTGACTCGATTGTAACTTATGTACCTATTATAGGAACAATGTGATCTGGATTTTTTTTTCTTACTAAGGTTTTATTTTTCTCATTTGACAATAATTCAAGCATATTTAAATCGTAGAATTGGTTCATTGTCATCAGTTTTAATTACAAACTTCAAAGACATGATTATAAGTCGTACCACTGCAAAATTCATTACTCGTTGCTCGAATTGCAAAATACCAAGCAGGTATAACCAATAACGACTGTTCATAAACATATCCAACCTCATTCTTAGGATTCAAAAACTCAACTAAGGTAACTAATAACTAGAAAAATTGATCTCAGACTGAATTCTATATGTTTTTTTTGTTTTAGATAAAAGTTTATGTTTTGATGTATCTCGATGAGAGTTATAGTTTGTCAGTTTTGAGTGACGATCTGCAGAGCCGTTTCTTTGTAATTTGGAAAAAAGTTTTAAAAAATCAAAAACAGTTCAAAAGATATTAGTAGGGAATGATACTGGTTAGTTTTAGGTGAAAATCTACCGAGCCGTTTTCTTTTAATTAACTGTTGATAAAAAATTTTAAACCGACTTTTATGGAACTTTTTTTTTATCATAGTTCTTACAACTTACTCTAAAATTACAGCCTTACGAATGTTGTTTTTGCACTAACTATGATGAATTACAAGAATAAAAAACGTTTTTTCTTAAATATATGTTTTTATAAAAAAAGTTTGTATTTACTATAAAACTATAATAGGATTTTATACTTGCAAGTAATACTCTTTCTATAAGAATTCGACTCAATACAAGTTCAAACAAAAAAAAAAATCTATTACCGATTATTTTAATGTTTTTTAATTAGTTGGTATTGGTATTTTGCCTTGAGGCAAGTTACATAATCTTCCCGATATGTGTGAATAATCGACATAATCAATAAAAAATAAATCAATCTATGAGTGATTAAAAGTCTTCCCAGTGGATTTATTACATATAATTGAAAAGGAATGAACACGTTAACTCGGAGTATTTTCTAAAAACGAATTTTCAAAAATCAACAATTTTTATAATTGAACCAGTTTCCTTAGGACTTTAATGGTTTAGTAGTTCATTAAGTAAATCGTCTAATTTTAATTTTAACAAACGCCAAAAAAAACTACTCATTTTCTCAAACTTTGATGAATTTTTAAAATTAAACTACTTGTCGTAAGGCCGTAATATTTCAGTAAGTTCTATAAGACTATATTATATATCGCCAAAAAAAGTTCCATAAAAATCGTCTTAAATTTTGTTTTCAACAGTTAATTACAAGAAAACGGCTCGGTAGATTTTCACCTAAAACTAATCAGTATCATTCCCAAGCAATATCTTTCGAACAGTTTTTGATTTTTTTTAAATCGATTAGGTAGTATGAGCTTAAATGTGGACAAAAAGTTTAACAATTTTTTTCAAATTACAAAGAAACGGCTTGGCAGATCGCGCAAAATTGATAAACAATAGTCTACATCGAGATATATCGAATGGCTTTTAAATTTTTGAAATCGGTCCAGCCGTTTTAGAGAAAACGTCTATTTTTGATCCGAGATAACTATTCTTGTGATATATTATGTATCATAGAAATTCAATTACTCTGATAAAATCAATCAATATTTATTTTGTTTTTACCGATCATGCTCTTCAGTTTGACCGCGCACATGATAAAATCATCGAAGGCAATCATTCCGTCCTTGGTGCCATATCTGTGCATCAGGATGTTCAGGATGTGGTTGTTCAGCCTGTAACCTGCACTGTTCAAGGCCTGACGCAATTCGAAGGCGCTCAGGCAACCTGAACCGTCGCGGTCGTATAGTTTGAAAACGGCCTGAAAATATAATAAATAGAGTTTCAAACACGTCTGAGTTACTGTAAAGTAAAATGATAAAGGCAATATCAAGGACTTCGTACAAATTTTCTAAAGACATCATTCAAATTATGGAATGCAATACCGATGGAAAATATCAATACCGGTATTTCGGTAATTTTTCATTTTAACACCGGAATACCGATAAATTACCGGTATTTTTATTATCTCAAACAAACGTAAACGAAATTGAAAGTTACTAATACAAATATAAAATATATAATTGTATGTACAACAACATCTATATTCAACTAAACAATAAAAACATTAATATAAAAC